TTATTTTTCTGAACAAAGTGTACTGCATATGCACTTTTTCTAAAACAAGGGAACCTCAACATTCCACAAAAAGGGCCAATTTTGTGAAAGGATATATACCACTAAATTTAAATTGTACTGAATAAATTAAAAATGCCTCTATAACACGAAAGGGGTGGCATCTATTCCTTCCAAATGTCTGTCAATTTAAATGTTCTACAGCACTATTATCGGAAGATAGCTATTTTTTCCCCAGAGTATGTACTTGAAAAGCAAACCCTTCAAGATCAGTTCTCAACTGACACCTGCTCTTTTCATTTCTCAGATCTCAGTTACATGAATGGGGAAGGAAGAGAAAATTCAAATATATGAAAATGTTTCATCAGTCACTACCCCCAACTAGTCAGCCAGGCCTACTCTTCCAATGTAAAATGAAGACTACAAGGGGATGAGAAAAAGGTGATCTTTTCCTGTTTTTTTGCCAAGACGTCTGCTCTATTGTGCTACATCAGCCAAGGGACAGAACCTTGTCTCTCAATTCACCTATTGCCCAATGCACTGTGGTTGATATTTCCATATTAATCTTCTCTCTTAGTACTTTGTCCTCTTTGAATATTAATCCTAAAGGAGGGTATGATTAATCAAACCTAATGACCTTGGATTTCTAGGGGTTCCCCAGTGGCTAGATGAACTTTTCCTTCATCATTAGTAACAAGTCAGAGGACCACTGTAAAGAGGGTAAATGGATTAACCTTTTCCCCTATCACTTATCTCCAAGGCCAGAAATCCCCTTAATCTTCCCAGTTATGAGAAGAGTTGAATATTCCTTCAGTCCACTAGAAAAGAGGGCAGAAAACAATTCCTCCCAGCCAGGCCTCACTCTTATCTCTATCAACCCAAGGATTTCTGTACTTAGAAAGAATAAAGAACAGCCCGGCCAGTGTGGCTCAGTGTTTGAGCGTCGACCCATGCACCAAGAGGTTGCTGGTTCAATTCTCAGTCAGGACACATGTCCAGGTTGTGGGCCAAATCTCCAGTGGGGGGCCTGCAGGAGGCAGCCAATAGATGTTCTCTCTCATCAATGTTTCTATCTCTCTCTCCCTATTCCTTCCTCTCTCTCTAAAATCAATAAAGAAAAAAAATTTTTTTTAAAGAATAAAGAATGGTTTTAATTAGTTCATCACTCATCTCAAAACTCTCCTCATCTCTTGGAGGCATTATCTCAAATGAAAAGTCATACATTAGATGTGGTAAGAGACAACAAGTGATGATTAAAATGTTATTCTATTATAACCAAGAACTGTAATTTGAGATCTTTAAGAAGCCAAAACTTAGTCTAATTTTTATTTAAGTAAGGGTTCTGTGATCTAATCAACACTGTAGAAGACATTCCTCAGGGTACTGTGAAGAAAGCCCAGTTTGACTTTTCCTCTACATTACCTGATATTTTTATCATGAGGGAGGAGAGGGGGAACCTTTTAAATGTGCCTACAAACATCTTCAACGCTGACCTAGTATTACATATAAACATAACTGGAAAACTGTAAAAACTCTTTACTAAAACAGAAATCTTATTACTTCCTGAACTTCCTACTCTGTCATTTCTCCCATTAACCCATTCTTCCCTCTGAATCAAGAAAACAGTTAAACAAAGGAACTTCTTACTGAATACATTTCTAAGATGAAATATCACTGTGAACATATTTTCACCACATTCACTTTAAGTACATCATGAGGTACTTGGTCATGACTGTGATATTCTGTTTTATTATATCTTCTTTACATTATTCAGACATGCAATTTTAGAAAGCCAACATAACTTAGGAAGATTATTTTCCTTTGCCCTATGGGTGGTTTATGAAAATCATAATCATTATTTATATATGGCAAATACAAAATTTTGACAACTTGCATTTGAAAGCTTTCAACATTTAGCTGCAGTCTAGCTAGAAGGAAATATTGTAGGAATATAAAGGTTTAATTTATTACCCAGGCCAGGCAGTAGGAATACTACCACCACTACCAGCCAAAAAAGTGTAGATGCCACTTGAGCAGTTTCTAGTGTCAGGATCTTGATCTAACTCCATGAAGTAGGTGCTTTATTTTAACGATGAGGACACTAAGACTTTGAAGAGGCTAACTAATTTATCTAGGTCAATAGCTAACTAGAGGCAGAGCCAGAATGCAAACACAAGTTTGAGTGACTGCAAAGTCAGAAAGGCTGAGTTGAAATTTCAGCTCCTCCACAGAGAATATAAAATGTCTACAAGAATGTTAATAAAAATAACAATCTGTATTATCTCTAGGTAGTAAGTTTCAGGTAATTTTCTTCACTTCCCTTTTTGTCTTTTTTATGTACTACTTGAATTTCTTACAATGAGAATGTATTGTTTTCTAAAGAAAATTGAGCTCCAAAAGAAAATACCAAAACAAGCATGCATATAAAAAAAAAAAAAAAATCAATGACTTTCTAATTTGAGTTTTGAGACCCTCAAAATAGTGTTCCCATGTTCAAGTTGAAGAAGGGATATAAAAGACAGGAGGGAAAACAGAATGGAGTAGAGGGAAGTGTTTTTAGACAGACTCATACAGAAGCCACACAGAAACCACATGTTAGATCTCCTAGCCTACCACTTTTCTTTTAAAGCTCAGTTCACCTAGATGTTTACATCTTTTTATTTTTAATTGATTAGATGTTTACATCTTTTGACCCAGAAACCCTCTCAATGATTTTCCTTAAGAAAAAGCTATGTGCAAGAACTTGACCATGGCAGCATTACCTACAATAGAGAAAAAAGTTGGAAACAACCTAAGAGTCCAAAGTTAAGGTCTATCAATAAATTATAAAGATCAGATAAAAACATGTTTAGTGTTTGGGAAATAGAAAAATAAAGAATATGCCATCATAATGTTTATTTTTAATTACCCTTTGTTATTATAATTTGTTCCTTTTTAAAGTCAAAAGTTACTTAAAATCTTTCTTTAAAATGCTAGCATCATAATTATGTTATTAGAAATAGTAAGGGTCGCCCTGGCCGGTTTGGCTCAGTGGTTGGAGCATTGGCCTGCAGACCAGAGAGTCCTGGGTTCGGTTCCCGCTAGGGGCATGTATCAAAAAAAAAAAAAGTAGTAAGGATCAAACACATGATGCCATAAATCAGATCTAGAAGTCTTTTAGCTGGAAAAGGGAAGCAGGAAGCTCTAACACCCTAACCAGAGGACAATGATATGATGATGTAATTGATCATGGGAAGTGGTCCATTAATAGGAAATCAGTGTGGGAGGTATGATGAACTGAGAAGTTGCAACTATATTAAGGCTATAAAAAAGTACACATTAAATGCCTCCCAATTTATTAGGACATATATCTATAAGTACAATGCAGAAGGCTTTTATAGATGAAATCTCACATTTGCAAGTGAAGAAATTTATGCAGAGGTAGTTAGACAATAAAAGCCACTGCAACTGGAATAAGGTATTTACATTACTTTCTTTACACTTTGCCACTGCTACTCTGAAAAAGCAGGCCACAATAGCACCTACTTAAACAATATCCACAAAATTATAGAAAATTATTTTACAGACTATAATCTAAGATCCTTTTATAATATTCTATTGCTAGAAGAGAAGAATACAGACCAAGATAAAACAGATATGCATAAAGAACAAAGGCTGAATATTTTAGATTAGGCTTATAGTTGTTCAAGGTGGAGAAGGAAGACAAATAAATGCAGCCTTAAAGATATTAAAAACACAAAAGTCTGTGAATATCATTGGTTTCTTTTTTAACATCATTCTCACTTCTAAGTGAAATATGCTTTAAATTACCAAGTACCTAATCTTTCAACTGAAGACAGACATGGTAACAGTGACTAAATATAACAATGAATAAATGAGATTTTTTTTTCTACTTCTGAAGGCTTTAAAATATAGCTTTTCTCAAAATCCTTTCTTTTCTTTTATAGTCTGTTAACTACTTTCTTTTCACTGGCAATTGAGGACCGCAGCAGAAAATCATGAGTGTGACAAGAAAAGGATGAAATGGATTCCTGGTGCGGCTTGAGGAAATGACTATCAGGTGTTCACAGTCAGTCATCTACTATATAAGAGCCTGGAGAGAACCATGGGGATCAAATTCCAGAGGACATAAGGGTTCATACAAGATGGACATCCCTATGGCTAACTCTTTACAGTTTTCAGATAGTTAAGGCTCTAAACCCAAGCATTGTGGATATTTCAACAGAAAATTTCCATTACAGTATTTAAATATACCATAGGGCCCCTAAAAAGTCCTATAACCTATAAAAAGAACTATCTGTAATTATGAGTGTAACATCAGCCTCTATCCTGAATTTACATGGGCTGTAAAAATAGGAAGTCCTAATATTGCTGATGCTGGGACTTTCTGCCTTATATTTAACCGAAACGTTTCCACACTTTAAGACCTTTTCCTTGTATTTTTAGCCTTAGAGAATGCAAAGGGGTCGTTGGCTGCTCTTAAGTCTGTGTAGTGTTATTTGATTATATTTTAATAAATGAAACCCTTTTCTATGAACTTCCCTGAAGTAGTCTTTGGAGACTAGTTTACTAAATCTCATATTTCCTTGCAATATACTTGGACTTAAATGAATTATCCAGGTTCAGCTATGGATTCCAAATGCACAAAGCCCAGAAAATCTGGCTTCTGGTCCCATGCTATAACTGCAACCTCAGCTGCCCGACACATGCTTCTGCCAGACATTAAGATTAAAGCAATCAACCTTGAAAATCATAGGTAGCTAAACCCAGGTTTTAAAAAAATCAACTTCAAATACATTCCACAATGCTTTACAGAAGCAAACAAAAACAAACAGAAGACAAACAAAACCAAAAAAAAAAAAAATCACAATTATTAAAAAGCTGATTTTTGTTTAAAACACCAAGCAAGGAATGGACACATGAATATTCCTAACCTGCAAAATGATTCCTCCACATTATATCAGCGAAACTCATTGGTGGGCCACTGGGAGGGTAGTGTTTACCTTTCAGAGGCTCATGATCAGTCCTTATCATATCCATTAAGGAGTTCTCCAACGAGTGCAAGTTAAAAGTGTCATAGGGCCTACTCCGATCCTAAAAATAAAAACACAGAACAACAAGACAATACATAAAATTACTTCATAAAAATCAATAACCATCATTTGCTTCTTGCCATGACATGAATTAAAATTCCAGATAGTTCTAATAACACACAGTCATTATTTTCATTAAGAATAATGACTTATTTCAGCCCTGGCCTGTGTGGTTCAGCGGTTAGAATGTTGGCCTGCACACTAAAGGGTTGCAAATTCAATCCCTGGTCCTGGTCAGGGTCATGCAGAAGGCAATAAATCAATGTGTCTCTCTCACATCAATGTTTCTCTCTTTCTCTTTACCTCTCTCCCACTCCCTCCCTTCCACTCTCTAAAACTCAATGGAAAACATATCCTCAGGTGAGGATTAAAATAATAATAATAATAATAATAATAATAATAATAATGACTTATTTCAGAATGACACTAAACCTACATTAATGCTAGAATTAAAAAAAAAATAATGACTTGGCGACATTAAGTTTAATACAAGTTTCCATAATTAATTAAACTGCATCCTTTTCCCTAATATTCTTTTATGTGTATGTCCCACTACTTCAGACAGACTTTGTCTCAAATGAACTAAAAAAGTAAATTTGAAAGTTAGAGTTGAGTGAATTGACTTTGCCCTCTGCCCTTCACCCTTCACCCCCTGCCTCCACTGTCAAAGGAAGACTCTACTCAAATGAATAGAAATTTTTTCCCCCCTGGAGGAAGACCATAATTAAGAACTATCAGTCTATAAACAGAATTACTTTCCTGAAAAAACAAAAAATGACAGTAGTTTCAATGCAATTTTATCGGATAGCTTTAATATTTATTACTGATAAGGTCTATACATTAGGTATATATTATAAAAATTAAAGTATGTCCAAAGTACTAAAATTACCTTTTGAAAAGCATTCACATGAAAAAACTTTAACCCAAGGTAGTGTTTTCATGATGTTAGATTCAAAAACATTTTGAAAGCAGAAAGTTAACAGAAAATAAGTAAAGAAAAAAATAATTCTTCTACCACATTTCACTCTAGCCCATGGGAGACCATCACCTATAAATTATTTTTAGTAGTCTGAGCCTAAAAGAAAGTGCAACTCATGGCCTAACTTACTACTATAGAACAGACTTATTTTGTTTTTGCTTAAGAAAAGCAAAATAAACATACACATCAACAACCACACAAATCAGACTACAGCAATAAGAGGTTATTTTCAGGATCTTGTATAGTTAATCCAGCTTTGCAAATGATTACTTATCCTCTCCTATGAACAACAGAATAACACGATGAGCAAAAAATAATACAATGGATTAAAACTTCAGCTACAGTGACCATTTTTTAGATTCGTCTTAAACTGCTAGAAAACTGTTTTCTGGAAAGCATAGCTGTATACCTTATCCAGGGAGGCAAAAAGGAAGGTGACATTTCCTTAGCACTGAGCAAAAAGAAAAAAACAAAAACAAATAATGTAGAGGATTATTGAAAAAATTAACGCAGTACATATGCATGCCCTTCCTAAGATGAGCCCTGAACTAAGTAAGAGTACTAGAACAACTGTAAACAATTGTGGGCTTTGGGGTACATTATGATCCAACTCTCCAGACTGCACCTGAAATTCCTCCCTTTATGCAAATGAGAAGATTGAGCTAGATTATTTCTAATATCCCTGATAACCCTATCCTTTTGTTGTTGTTGTTTTTTAACTCATAGAGGAGGAGTAGAGATGGAGGGCACAGATTTTACAAACCTTTAATGCACAAATTGTGGGCCACTCCCCTACTAGGCCGTGGTAGTTCAGAAATAAATGCTATAGCCTAGTCCCTGTAACTTAGTAGAAAGAGACAAAACCAGTTAAAATAAGAGTATGACAGGTGTTTTGACAGAAGAATGCATGCAGTACAATGGAAACAAAGTCACATCTATTACTTAAAGAGCATATATTTGTATATATATTATAATTTTTTTTAAAACTCACATCCTAAGTGTCTTGAACATGAACCTGTCATATGACAAGACATAAAGCTTGTTTTAGTTATTCTCAGTGGCTTCAGTATTCATACTAGTAAAATGGCATCTTACCTGTGAGAATTAGGTTGAAATTACTTACGTATTTATTTTATTCACATTGTGTTTGCCAGAGAACAAGTAGTTAACATTTCTTAGCTTAATGACACTTCTCCCCACCCCCCATTTTTTTTTCTTTTTAACATTCATCAGTTACCTGTCTCTACCGTTGGGTAAGAAAGAGACATGGAATATTTTCTTCGGTTCTCCAATTTAGTCTCTTTATAATTTAAGAAGGTCCTTTCCTTTACCTTTAAGGTCTTCCTGGAGATCATTTGTTTTGCTTTGAGTTCAAGTTATCAGTGGAAACTTTAATTACTTAAGGAGTAAAGTTGAATTTCCAAAATGCAGGCTTATCTTTCTCTGTAAGAGGTATCATATTCTTTGCCCAAAGAAAAAACCAGAGGTAAAAGAGTGTGCTGATGAAGAGGCAAAATGACAACCTATTTATGGCACTGACAACCCCATAATAAATGTCTAGGAGCCTTGTATCACATATGTCCACACTTCTAACCCTGCAGACGTGGGACTGTTTGAAGAGAGGCTGATAAAGTGAAGGGACTATAAGAAATGCTTATTTGAAGGCATTCGAGAATCTTTCCAGTCAGGACAGTTTCTTTTGTTCATTTAATTCTTGATATAATCTTCAAGATAGATAATGACATACTCATTTTACACATGAGGGAAATGAGGTTCAAAGATGATGCAAGTTGGGATCTGACCTCAAAGCCAATACCTAAGGAGTATAAAAATCTGTCCAAAAAAGTTAATCCCATCCCATTTAGGATAGTAAATGGCAGCTCTATAGTACACAGCACTGCATCTAATCACTGATGAAATAAATGATCTTCCTAGTCAGGTGGCAGTGAGTTTCTGTCAGAAGACAGCATCAGATATTAAATGACTACTGGTCAGGAAAATTGGAGGATGTTTGAAGGGGGTTCATTATACCTGAAGTGGTTCCCAAACTGACCAGATTGTCAAAATCACATGTAAAACAGTTTAAATGTAGGTTCCTGGTCTTAAGCTAAAACCCACTTAATCATAATTTTAAAAAATAATAAATGTCCCAGGTGACTGACTAGATTTGAGAGCCACTAGGCTGGATGATTCTTCAAGTTACATAAGCCTTTCCACTCATGAATCTGATCCGAAGAACGGGACAGTAAAATAAGGGAAGGGACTAGATGGACAGCATCAGGAAATCAGGCCTGGCCACTTTGCCAAAAGTCAATTTTGCAGTCTTCCAATTGATTGTGAATTAGAGAAACAATTGGTGGTCTGGTTTTTAAAAGTACAAACTTTGAAGTCAAACAGCTGATTTTCAAATTCTGGCTCTGCCACATGCTGGCATGTCACTCTGAACAAAACATCAAGCCTTGATTTTCTTCATCTATAGAGTGGGGGGTAAGCCTGGGCTGATATGGCTCAGGAGTTGGAGCATTGGCCTACAGACCGAGGGGTTTGGGGTTCAATTCCCAGTCAAGGACACATAACTCAGTTGCAAGTTTGATCCCCGGCCCTGGTCGGGGTCTTGCAAGAGGCAACCAATCGATGTGTCTCTCTTATATTGATGTCTCTCTAACTCTCTCTGTCTCTGTCTCTCTCCCTCTCCCTCCCTTCTACTCTATCTAAAAATCAATGGAGCCCTGGCTGGTATGATTCAGTGGTAAAAGCATCACCCATGGACCAAAGAGCTCAGTGTTTGATCCTGGCCAAGGGCACGTACCTTGGTTGCAGTTCGTCCCCAGCCCCAATTGGGTTTGTGCAGGTTGCAGCCACTCGATGTGTCTCTCTCGCATCGATGTCTCTCTCTCTCTGTCTCTCTGTCTCTCTCTCTCTCTCTGTCTCTCTTTCCCCTCTCTCCCTCCAGCTCTATCTGAAGATTAATGTAAAAAAGTCCTGGGGTGAGGATTAAAAAAAAAAAAAAAAATCAGCCCTGGCCAGTTTGGCTCAGCGGTTAGAGCGTCGGCCTGCGGTCCAGAGAGACCCGGGTTCGGTTCCCGCTAAGGGCATGTACTTCGGTTGCAGTTTGTCCCCGGCCCTGGTTGGTCGTGCGGGTGGCAGCCACTCGATGTGTTCCTTTCACATCGATGTTTCTCTCTCTCTCTCCCTTCCATTCTATCTGTACAAAAAATGGAAAAATATCCTCGGGTGAGGATTAAAAAAAAAAAAAAAAAATCAATGGAAAAATATCCTTGGGTAAGGATTAAAAAAAAAAAGGGGGGGGGTGATAATAATTCTCCCTTTATGGTTGTTTTCAGCACTAAATGACAGAATGTACCACCACAAAGCATCTGTACAGTGGTGGGTACTGGAATATTAGGGAAAATACAGAGACTTCTGTGATGCCACATCAGAGTACCGGGACACAGATTGAAAACAGAGGCTCGCGGATGCTAACCTAAATGGTTCACTTGTGCTCCACAGATGAAAACATATGCCATGTAAAATACATGATAGAATTTGCACAGGCTTCTTAATTGAACAAACTTCAGTGCTGAGAGACTTTATTTTCTCACTAAAATTAATTCTATCTATGCCTCATCAATTTCTATTTGCTGTATCCTTTTTGTTTTACAAGTAGTAAATACTGCTGAAATAACTGATTAACTAGGAAGCCTGTAAAAAAAAAAACAGCAAAGGGATAGAGAAACAAAAAAATTTGCAGTGAAATTCCAGAAATTATGCATAGAACAAACTAACCACAATTTACCCTTCAACAACAAAAGTTACAAGTGGCAACTAACCTTTTTAAATCTTTTTTTCATAAATCTTTTGCCCAATATAGGGAATATAAGGAAAACATCTTTTCCATTTGTTTTTAACAAGCAAACATACCAGGAAGTATTAGAACATTTATAAATAATGCATCCCATTATTGACTCTTTTGCTCTGAATATAACCAATGACAGATGTTATCAGTTACTTGTACATAGAGG